TCGGACAAGCGCTGACTGAGGACTTCACCGCCGTCTTTGAACAGTGCGGGTGGAAGGTCATCCGGACCGGGAGCTCGGTGGCGCTTGAGAGAACATATGCAGTCGTAAACCTCCGAGGCCGTAGGTGGTTCCACGCCGCAGGGTAACCTCTTTTCTTGACGGGCGAACTCAAGCCACGTCGGCGCCATAGGTGCCGTAGTTGGCAAAAGCTGCCCTGGTCTTCCCGATTCGAGAAAAAATCTTATCTCCAGCCGGTCCACCGAAAATCATACAACCGCCTTGGTCAATAAATTTATCTATCACATCGACTGGCTCGTCTGCAAGCATGAGGATTGGGTTTGATCTCACCTGATCTTGTAGAGGACTTTACGCTTTTCAGGTGCAAAGCACATACCAAACCATGCGGAAGAGTTATTTAGGTTATTTAAAATGCTTTGCATTCTTGAATGGTCTGAACCAAGGGGAGGAATGTTTGTGAGGGAATGTCCCGGGAGCACTTCGACTCTCGATATTTTGGTGGTGGGCAGCACGCAAAAAACAGAGTTGAAGTGGGAAGGTGAGATGGGGAAGTCCTGTTTCACATCACTGGAGGTGGTGAACTTATGCGGGAGCCTCCCGTATACTCGTACGCACCCACAGGAGTTCGCATCCAGTGCCCTCATAAGGGAGAGAAACTTCGAAGAGACTACCAGTTGTTGACGAAGGAAATAGAAGTATACTTCGGATCAAAGAAAACGACCAAAGTGGGACGGCTGAAGGAGTGGCAATGTTCAAGAACTTGTCCCAAGGTGAAGATATTGTCGACGAGCTCCATCCAGCTGGTATCCTTTTTACGTTCAATATTCCACAGAATGGATATTCTAGCACGTATATTGTGTGTATACCCATTATCAACATCGCCTAGCCACATTGGTTCTCAATTTCATCGAGGATTACCTGTAAGTAACAAAATTCGTTGCACTTAATCGCCAACACTCCTTACTGGGTCTCCGCGGAGGACTGTGCAGAATCTCGGCTGCTGATTGGACAATCGGGTCCGGTCACGGATTCGCGGATTGATACACAGGATCGAGGCATTTACCCAAGTTTCCCGGGTCGGTTTTGTTCTTGTCGGTCAGTGGCTGTCGTTCACCTGAAAGACACAAGTGAAAAAAGGGTGTAGCACTGCTCTTTATGTTCTCAGCGCAGGGCGGTATGCTTGCCAGCGCGAGGATTCGCACAAATAAATGTCTAACAGTGCTTTAAACTGGGTTCTAGAAGGAGCGTGCACAACCGTCGGAGGAAGGTCATTCCACGCAGCTACTACCCGAAATGAGAA